ATGCTGTACAGTTGTATTAGAGAACATTCTCTATCTCGGAAAAGAATATTTCGAGAGAGAAAATGCTTCTGATTTTTTCCAGTGCCTACTCAGAAATGCCACTGATTCCATTTTTTTTTAATTATCCTACATTAATTACTGAACTATTGAATATGATGTTAATCTTACTTAAATAGCTAAGGAAAAATTAGATGGTAATATTTTGAAAAATATCTAAGTATGCATGCTTTTTTAACTTCGGTTATTAAAATTTTTATTTGTTAAGAGACAAATTGACATTACAATCTAAAAACATTATAAAACAAAAAGCAAGTTTGTCAAACTTACATGCTTTCCTTGCCACATGATCTATGATTACGTACTCTGCATTTTCGAAGATTTTACAATTTCATTGGTTAAAATGTTGTGTGCGCAGATAACCCAAACATTTATAATCAACCTAGTAGTATCGTGACGTCATTGACAAAGACGAGATTGTTAAAAGTGACCAGAATAGCCACTGTTTCTGAGAGACAAATTTTGTCTCTTGTTTTGATGTCATTCGTCATTGAAAGAAGAGACGAAAGATAAGTGACTAGAATACTGCCCCTGGATCATTTTGCCTAGCTAGTGAAAATTTCTGGGGAGAACACTTAGTAACTTTTTTAGTAACATACTGAAAAGGATAATAAAATCATATATTACAAAATTAAATAAAATTGAAGAAATGCTTGTGACAATATGCTTCAGTATTAAAATTAGGACTACACTATTAAAACAACAAAAATTGGAATTAGTGCTTCTTTTGTTTTTAACATTTGAATTTCTTGGAAATTGGCTTTATAATAAAATATTTTGTTATAAACTATTTTATTGACAGAAAACAGTAGTGAATTACAGAATTATTTTAATATTTATAAGGAATTACTTTTGATCTGAATGGTTTTTATTTTTTAGGATGGAAACTTCTCTTCCCCAAGTACCAGAAAATCTATTGAAAAAACAAAAAAAGAGAGCAGAAATTAAAGCAAAAGCAATTCAGAATGCTATTAAACAACGAAAAGTAAGTTTTATCTTTTGTTTTCTGCATATTTGCAATTGATAAGATGCAATCTAAATATTCAAAACAACCTGTTTTCAAATGTGCATGTTTTAAAACTTTGATAATATAACTTTTTTATTTAAATGACCAAGGAAGATATAAATATCAACATTATTAGTTGTTTACATTTTGAAAGTTTCTTATCTTTCTTTGGCCCTTGTGCCATAAACTCCAACTCCAACCAACCATCTTTATAATTGGAAAACATTAGCTATTGGAGAAACAAATTTATTTGCCATACAAATGACATTCTGATAGCTTTAAAGTTAACAGAGAACTGCTGTATTAATGCATGTATAAGCCACACCCTATTTTAAAACAGTATATTTGGGAAAAAATAAAAATCTTAGAATTTCACCAAGGGACAAGAGTAGAGACATGGGTATACAGAAATATGACAACACTGCAAATTTTAAATGGGAATGAAGTAATGGTTAATGCTTATTGTTGAGTACTTGCTCATTGCATGCTAAATGTCAAGTAAGAGTGAGTTACGTGGTGGTAAGTTTAAAAATGTAAGTGGATGCACAAGAAAATGGAAGTTGAGCAGCAGGAAGGAAGTTTGACGTAGATGAAAAAACATTCAGTAATGGATTCACACAAATGACACTCTTGAGAAAACATCACAAAATTGGCAATTGTTTTATGGAAAAACAGTGAAATATTTTGACCTGGAAGGAAATCTGTTGTAATATATGTGTGAAATTTGTGAAGCCAAAAGGATTGCTCAAAATATGAAAATTTTCAAAAGCAAATTTAAGGGACGTTACAGCTGGGCAAGACATTTTATGGCACAACATGAGCTTGTGATTCAGTGTCAGACTTCAAAGACACAGTGGCTTTCTGACACCTGTAAAGAGAAGCTGCTTGCATTTCAGAAACATTTCCTCAGCTTAAGAAAGACACATGGCTAAAACTTAAGAGTAATAGGCAATGCTGACAAAACTCTTGTCTTCTTTGATATGCCAAGTAACACTACAGTCAATCAGGCAGGTGAAAAAAAAAAAAAAAAAAAAAGTTTTGATGTGTAGAAGATATAGGCTAATAGATACTTAGTTCCCTAATGAATTAGTTTATTTTCTGATAGCTTAAACGTAAAAGAGCGCTTCTTGTATATGTGGCGCGCTTATACATATAAAGAAGAAAATGTAAATTCTTTAATTCGCAAATGGTCAGAAATGTAAGAGTATCTAACCATTAAAAACATTCTAGTTTTATTATGGTTTGGGGCTGTCTCGAAAAGCGTTCGATGGCTTTACTTTGTGGTCGGAACCACGAATTCGAACTAGTATGACAAGGTTTTGACGACACATCTCCTCCCATAGACTGTTCGTGACCATTTTCCAGATAAACCTTGAATTTTTCAACAAAAATTTGGCACCGTGCCACACATTCAAAATGCTAAGTAAGGGTTTTTCATTTTATTTTGTATATATTCATTTTTATTCATTAACTAATATTTTATTTCTGTTATAGATAAAAAAATGCTCTTAGTTGTCTGCACGCATTAATATTGTGGTCAAAAAACCCATTAGATATTAAATTTACAAAAAATACTTGTTATACAAAATATGTAGTTAACAAGTAATGCACATAAAATTAAAATATCAGTAGTTAAATAGTAACAGAATTTTAAGATTTTATTTCATTTTATTTTGAAATTTAACAATTTAATTTGTAGATTAGTAAGTTAAATGACTTATTGTTTAGAAAAATGTAATATTTACATATTGACTACGGTAATATATCTCGTAAAAGTTTGTTTTTATATAATTTAATTTGTATAAAAATTTTATTGTTTAATTAATTACGCAAAATTATATATATATATATTTGCAGTAAGTTTTGTAATTATATTTATAATGAATTATTTATTTCATTAAATTTTCAGAAAATTGTTATTGTATAAATTTTTTGCAGATTTTTATGATTAAACTCGATTAAATTTAATAGTAGACCTATATAATAATGTATTTTTTCTATATAATTTGTATTTATATTTCATTATTATATGAAATATAATTATGAAATATAAATACAAATTATAATATAAATACAAATATTTTATTTCATTTGGTAGTTATTAACAGTATTATTTTGCCAGAAAATATTAAATATTTACTTCTTTTATAAAAAATAAATTATAGTAAGTATAGACTACCTATTTTATTCTAAAGTATTTAATGCAGAGATTCAAAAATTTAACTAATTTCATACAAAACAACATCAAAACTATGAAAGGCGGCAGCAAATATTTATTTCTTCGAGTGCATTAACGAAGATATTTACATATAACATTAATTAAAAAGATGTTTATAACGCTTTAAAACTTTATTTTGTAACAAAATTAAATTCTTTATTATCATTAAATTGATCTCGTAGACCGAAATTTATGATAAAAATAGTGTTAAATTGAAAAAAAATCGATCTTTTATATTCTTATATAGAATTATAGAATGAATATCAAAACTCGATTTAGACAAGATAACTAATTACAAGTAAAGTATTTCAGTATAACCAGTTTGGAAATCGGTCATAAAAATTTCAATTTTTATTCTTCCTTCTTGAATAAATTAATGTGTAAGATTATATACATTGGATTCACCAATGATGTTCTCGAATATCTACTAGGAATTTAAATTTAATAAGCGAGTCAAAGACCTCTATAAATCTTTTCTTATTTTATTCTTTTAGCAATCTGATCATACAAAGAAACAAATAGACCTACACTATATGCAAATAAAGTCGCTTATGTGGAATAAATTTAAAATTTTTAGTCTTAAATCTTAAAAAAATTTTTATAGAAGATATAATTAAATATATTTCTATTATTTTGAAGCTGCAAGAAATATTTCGAATTCAATTTAATAAAGAAAATGTTCATATTTTTGTAAAGATTAGATTATTTTATATATATTCGATACAATTTTAGAATAGAAAACGTGATAAATATATCTAAAGTATCAGTTTATAAAAGGTTTTTGCGTCGATTGTTCCGCGATGAAACTGGACACCTTTTAAATCAGAAATTGCAAGGGGGGATCGTCCATTAAGATGTAAATTCGAAATAAATTTTAATAATTAATTAAAGTAAAATATGGAAAAGTAAGACTAATTAATCTCATTCATCTTTTAAATTTAATACACCTTTCAAAATTCTCTTTTATTTTTAGAGCCGATATTCTGATTCGTCTATGACGAATTGTCGTGATCTTCAGACTGTAAACTACGGCTTTCTTATTTCCGTAATGATTAAGCACCGTAACAGAAAATGTCTAGGCCCTTTATTAAGATAAAATATACGAGGCCCTTTAAATTGGCATTGGAAGTCCCCTTTTATATAATTAGTTTAGCGTTTTACGTAAGTCTACTGTTCCCCGTTTCTAAGCGCCGTGGGAGCCGAGTGGGGGTGTTGTTACATCCCTGGCTAGACGGAATTAATCCTACGAGTTAAATATCGATATTTTCCAGATGAAAAAAAAAAGGAAAAAATCAGACATTACGTCTTCCTCATTGCTACAAAAATTGCATTGAAAAAAAAATTTTTTTAATATTTTATACTTCTTCGTAACTTGATAAATACTATATATAATTATTATAAAATCTATTTATTAAACTTTGACCAATAATTACATAAATAAAATTAATAATTCATATTCAGTATCTAGGAAAAATTTATTATTAATAAATTTTATTAAAATTAGACCTTATGCAATTTTTCCACACATCACATAGATTATTGAATCAAAAGATTAAAAAAAAAGTTAGAATTTAACATTAGAGATTTTTTATAAAATAAACTCAGAATATTAATTTAGGATCTATTTATTTTTTTTATAATTTTAAATTTCGTAATAATTTCCGTTTTTATTACGAATTATTTATCTTCGACAACACTTTCGATGTCTACATAGTCTAGACGAGACGCTGATTGTCTGCGCAGTTCGTCTGCGCATGGGAAGAGATGGCGGTGGACATAATATGGTTGTGTTGAGTTGTGCGAAAATTTGAACGTTTATATGAGTGTAAAACGGTTTCACGTTTTGTTCAGCACCACAACTGACTATTGGGGGAGTCGTTATTTACATCGAAATGCTATTGTGCTTTGGTTTAATAGGTAAGACGATCGTTCGCATAAATCGTCGTCTGTCTGAATCGCGACTTCCGGTGCAGACGATAGTTATCTTCCGGTAACCAAAAAGGTTTCATTTTTAGTAAGTTTTCAATGTAAAAAAATCGTTGATTAATAATAATAATAATATTTCTTTCTAGCTATACTTTTGTGTGAAGCTGACTTTGCTTGTGGTGAGTACAATTTTTATTTTTTTCTATTCTCTCAGCCACGTCTTCAACTGCGTTTGTTAGGGTTAGTCAAGGAGACGTCCTTTCCCCTCTCGTCTGTCTCCTGCGCCCCCCTCCGGACAGACGAATCGATTGAGAGACGTTCCCTTTCTGCCCACGGGATCCACTCTGTTCTATAGCGTATAAGGCACACAAAAAATATTATATATATACATAATACTTAAATAACTTTACTACATGCATAATTTTGATTATTCTTATTAAATGAAAATCCTTCTCGGATTGTGTAATTTACATATTTTAAAATTCCCTCGTGGCACGTTAATAAGAGATGCACGAGAAATAACACGTGTAAAAAAAATAATTATCGTTTATGTTTGTATTTTGAATTTAATGTTAAAAAAAATTGTTGAAATTTATATATAATTTTGAATTCATTAACAAATTTATCCTTGACAATATGACAATTGCATTGAAAATAAAATTTGAATTATTAGAAATTGACATAAATAAATTATCCTGTATTTTTTCACATATAAAGTTTATAATATAAGAGCTTAACATCTAAATAAAAAAAGTGGTTAATCATACATAATTTTTAAATACCGATTACATAAAAAAATATTTTTATTAATTGCAGGAATTTCTGTTTTAAAGAATTATTTTAATAACAAATTTTTAATAAAAGAAATTTTTGTGTGAAAATTTAAAATGTGTTGCATAATAAAATAAATTTTATAAATAAAATTAATAATAAACTATGTTTAAAATAATCGAGAGTGAGAAAATGTAATTAATTTTAATGCACAAATTTATTAGAAGTTTTCGTAATTAAAAATCTTAAAATTGATGATGACAATGTTTATTTAGTAAAACAGATTTATTTAATACTAATTGATTTTTCTGGAATTTGTCAGAAATCAGACATGTAATATTCTGTTTAAAAATTAGTACTGTTCATGTGTGTATATAATATATATATGAACACTACTGATTTACTGATTTCTATTTATAATTGAGAATTATGAGAGTGTTTAATGTTTAAAATATAAAAAACTTACAAAACTCAAAAATGATACTTTTGTATTTATTATTATTTTTGTTGAAGATATTTTAGCATACTAAATACATTAAATTTTTATTACTAGTAAATTATATTTCTAGGATTATTATTCCTATTTTAGTTTAAATGTATGAAATATTGCATTGTTTATACAAGATAAATTACTTATGATGCTTTAAATTTTAATATTTAACAAATTCACATATCAAAATTTATTTTATACATTTATTGAGGATTAAAGTGTTTTTTTACCAATATTAATTTGATTTATGAATTTAACACAATTTTCATTTTAACTTAGTTTAAATATCTAACAAAGTTTAAACTACTATTATATATTTTATATTAAAGCATATTTGTTTATAATAAGGAAATTTTATCATTTTGTTAAAAATAAACTATAATTAAATTGTCGGAAGAAAATCATTGATTAGTAATCATTAGTGCCATTTAATTATTGTAACTTCTCTTTTATAATAATAATTTTGAATTACAGAAAAGATTTTTGTAAATAAATACCAGTGCATTATTGATTTTACAGTTTAAATATGCAAATAATTATTAGCTTAATGAATTTTAAATTAATTTTATTAGTTGTTTATTGACTTTGAAGCTTCTAATAGAACTCCTCTTTAGTTTTGTAGCTGCAGAGATCTGTTTAGTGAAGTGACTAGCATAGAGCTGTATGCTAGGAGGGTCTGGGTCACATCCCAGTGGAGATTGTTCAATTTTCATACTTCCCCAAGCAGCTGTGTGGTCCATCCAGCTTTTCTTCAATAGTTAACTGGCATATCTAAAAGATAAAAGCTGGCTGGAGTAATGGCATTGACTATGTCATTTTTTTTCTTTCCTCTTTGACATCAGCCATGCTTTTAAGTTGGCTGAACCCTTTTCATTCTTGTCATTCTACATATCCAATTCTTTATTTTCATTTTTTTGTTAGGTTTTATAATTTTCATTATTCTTAATCAAATTTTAAATTTAGATATTACTCAGTTCATAAACAATTGGAAAAAGCAATAGTAACTCATTTATGTTAAGATTTAAAACTCAGCTATAGTAGTTTTCTTATTCCTTTAATATTTTAATTGTAAAATAAAAAAATTTTTTACAAGTGTGATTTTCATATAGTATGCAATTTATACAGTATTGCAATTTACAGGTTATTCATTGATAAATACTTTCATATAATAATTTTAAAATTGATGTGTAATTTATAAGTTTATTAGTTTGTTACTGTGTGCAGTAGTTTAAAATGCACGAATAACTTTTTATTTTTTTTTTATTTTTATAGTAACAAATTTAAATTATTGATTTAATGTTTGTAAGATTTTCAATTACACATTGTTTATTATGCTTATTCTTAAGTTTCTATTTTAATTTTTTAAAAGACAAATTCAATTTAACTAATAATACTTCATATAAACATAAAACAAAACTTTTGTACTTTACATGTAATACAATTTATAATTTTTAAACATAGATTATTAAACTTAAAATGTCTATTCATATAATGGGATATTATATTAATTAAATAATATGTATTATGTTTACATTATAAATTATAACTTCAGATTAAAATTTCAGTTTTTTTAAAATAGTGTATATTTTAATTGGAAATTTAGAATTATTTAATTTTACAATTTTAAATATCAATAGAAAGGTTGCAGCCGACGTTTTCAATGCAAAAACATGTACGTCGGACATTCAGCGCTGCCTTCTTGTAATCTTATAAGTTTGACAATGGTATTTGGAACATTGGTGGAATCATGCTCGATGTTCCAAATGCCATTGTCAAACTTCTAGGCTTACAAGAAGGCGGTGCTGAACATTCGATATACATGTTTTTGCATTGAAAATTTCGGCCACAACCTCGCTATTATAAATAAAATACAGTACAATTTATTTTCATTACTATTGATCATTTTTGGATTACTAAAAAATGTTCACAATGTGTATATTTTCAGTTTTAGTTAAGCTTTATGGCCTTAGATTAAATGAAGCAATCTATTAAATGAGTTTACTTGTTTCAGATTATTTTGGAATAAATTTTGGTAATTTTGTATTTATAATAAAAGTATATTGTGCTGTTTGATCAATATATAAATTAAAGTTTCATATATAACATTCTGTAATTTTATAAAGATATTATGATGGCACATATCCCACAAAAAATTGCTGAAACATAAAACTTTTGCATAAACTGCCCCACTATATATGTCTGTGGAGCTTCCATTGAAAACATGACACTTACAGGTATGTGTTGTACAATATACCATCTCAAACATTACAGTGTTTGAAATGGTATAATCATTTAGATGTTTTTTGTTTCCTTTATTTTAAAACTAGCTTACCCATCGCACATTGCTGCGATCTCAGAAGAAAGGAAATTCAAGCAAACTCGTTATGATAAAATTCAATTTACATTTTATCATTTTTATTGAAACTTATTATTATTATTCATTTTCATCGGGAAAACATTTCAAAGTGTCGTTTCAATTCTATTTATTTATTGGAGTGTTTGTGGATACATGATATTTTTTGTTTTTCCGTCTGGTGCGTACACGAATAAATCAGAAAGTTTTCCGACGCGTGAGCCGTCCACATACAGTTGTCCATGTGAGAAGCACGAATTCTACAAATTTAGCCCATACACTCGCAGCGATTGTCAGAAGTGCGATATTCCCCATTTTTATATATATATTTTTTAATCCTTTATAATTTTAATTATTTAATTGCTCCTTCCTCTCTTCCTTGGCATGTTGTGAAATTTCTGATAGTTGGATAATAAACCGTTTTATTGTAATTTGTCTTTTTAAATTATTTTGAGTCGATATTAAAATTTGGAAAAGGGGGGATACCTAGATCGGTAAAATACGCGAATTTCTTCCTACAACTTCGGTTGTTGTTCGGGGTACAGTTAAGGTTTTAACGAAGTTCGAGCGAATACATAATTAGCAAAAAAAAGTTGAAATAAAGTGATTAAACAAAAATTATTACAAATATCGTAAATAACAGTTCACAAATGCATATATAGAGATATTTTTTGAAGGGGAAATGGTCTTCACAATTTGAAATTGATCGAACACACACTGCTCGAATGCTCGTGTAAATGCACGCCATCTATCGTAGGATAAATGCCAGAAACCTTCGCGGGAGTGTATTAAAAAACTTCCCAAAGCTTCATGGCAATCGTACTACGCCACAAACCTTCACGCGAGTATATTTTCATTTTTATATATATAGATTACATGGAATACTGAGAAGAAGTCTTAATAGATAAAATTTAGGAAAATAGGTATCAACTGCCTGGAAAAAATTGTTGTTTGGTATCATATTTATTTTCTGTTTTTATTTATCAAATAATGATTGTTTAAAATAAACTGAAAGAAATTAAATAGAAAATAATTTTAATGTTCATAATATCTAATAACATGTATTTGAGAGTTGATTACTCTACTCTTATCTGCTGTAAACAACTGTAAGCTTAGTTCAGATAGATATTTACTAGCAAAAGAAAAAGGAAAATGCAAAAAATACTTTATCTTTGCATAGCATATTTGATTTCCAATACTATTTTGTAAAATGAGAACATCAAAATGACTCATCATATGCAAATGATAGCAAATGCCATTAAAATAAGATGGAAGCTGATAACATCAAAATGTTTTTATGCTTGTGTTGTCCTTTTATTTATTGAAAAGAAAATTTTGAAAATTATAATTACAAAAGTGTAATAATTAGAAAGTATATTTTTTTGTAGCAATTGTTTTTAAATTTCTCTCTTTCTCATAGATCTCTGAAAATTTGTTATTTCAATTAGTCATGAATATTTTTTTCTAGCAGAAAGTTTAACATGTTAAAATATGATTTGTAAAACAAAAAATTTGCTGCAATCACTGTGATGCAATATTCATTTTGCTTTTCACTAGTTTGCTCT